CGAGAATCATTTTGATATGCTCCGGTCCATGAAGGGTGGGTTTGATGCTGTGCAGTTGTCACAGAACCCATATTCTATTTAACGGAATTGCTATTCAGAAGCAAAACGTGCTTGCTAAATTACCATTTGGCTGAATCCTTGTTGCATTTGATTCATACTAGGCGGCATTCCTGCAGTAGGTGTCGACGGAGCAGGATGCGTTGACGGAGCATGGTAGGCCTTAGCTTGAATAGGAGGCATTGGAGGCACTAAAACAACCAGGTGGAGAAAAATATTGCAGCAAAGTAAAAATGAAATTTACTCGGAGGTGGCATTCCTTGTGCCGGAAAAGGTGACGAAGTCTGGTGGTTGTATGAGTTATTTTGGCTGACAGGAGCAGGAGGAAGCCCAGCGGCTGGCTAAAAAGCTCAAAACTTGCAGCAAAACCTAGTAAATTTACTACAGTACCTGATAAGTCCCAGGATGAACTGGCCTTTGAGGAGCAGGTGGAAACACACTTCCTCCCGGAAATGATGGAGGAATGGGCGGCGTTGCTGTACCTGCAGGATTTGCTGGAGGAGGTATGGCTGAATTGATTCCAGCAAAGGATGAAGGGATAAGTGGTGTGGGTGTAGCATTGCCTAGAGGATATGCAGGTGAAGGCATAGTCGTATGGGGTCCAGGAAATGATGGAGGAATGGGTGGAGTCGGAGTAGCGCCGGGAGGAATAGGCGGAGTTGGAGCAGTGCCGAAAGGCTTGAAGGCAGATGACGGCCCATTCACGTTAGCATAAGGTTGTGCCGTCGTGACCTAAATGAAGATACAACACAAGTAGACCGCAAATGTAAAATGTTGCAAATATTTGATTTTAAGCGATTTTTAGTACAAAAAATCAAGCGTAGAAGGGAAAATCGGTAAAACGGACTTCGTTAGGTAAGTTCAATTACCATACACGGTACCAAGCTTATTCGATGTACAAAAACCTATGATAAATGGAAAACATGATACCTCATGCTTAGAACCCTTTAATGATGCCCTCAAGAACGCATGATGTCGCTCAGATCAAAATACATCTCAAATCAAAAAGACGAAGTTGAACTATGCTACCAGCTCCAAAAGGGCAGGAAAAGGATGGTTATGAAAAAACCTTTGCAACCTGAATTCGTTGGATTTCCATTTGCTTTTATAGATTTCAGTTTTGGATAC